GCACATAACTGCAGAAAAGAGCAGCTACAGTGTGTAGGCAGATTTTTCCTTCACTGTGGCTAGTCTTCAAATTTTATAAGATGTCATAGTGTTTGTTTTTGCTTTTGCTCCCCTTACCTATAAAGGGCAAGTAGGAAGATGGCTCTTCTGGTCTATCACAAACACACACACACACACACACACACACATACACATACACAATTTGTGGAGTCAGCCAAATTCCAATGATGCACTAAGGAGTTGGGCCTCTCATGGCTGCGCTCATACTGAATACACATGAATTGTTTTCTTGTGTTAATCACAAAACACAATAACCATTTACATAACATTTACATTGTAGAAGAATCGTAAGTGATCTAGAGATGATTTAAGGTATGTTTGAGGGTATGTTTAGGTTATATGCAAATATTGTATCATTTTTCTTAGGAACTTGAGTATCCTCAGATTAAGCACCCAAAAAATCCAATCCCTCTCAGATACTGAGGAAAAATATTACCTAAAATGCAAAATGGAAGTGAAGAAAACTAAGAAATGAGTTCTCTTGGTCCTGTGGTCCTACCTTTTTGATGGAAGAATGAGACCATTCAAACCTGACCCACTGCACTCATCACAATGTGGCCAAATGGAAAGCCTAGCTCTTCTCATTGAATTTAAACAGCTATAGACAGTCCTCAGAGTAAATGCAATCTCACTCGAAGTGATTCTGATGGAGAACACCAGAGCCACAATTTCAGCAAGTGCATCAGTCAGCTTTTCAGTTCTGTAACCAAACACTTGACAAACACAAAGGAGGAAAGGTTTGTTTTGGTCCTGGCTTCAGCCCAAGGCCAAATAATGTCACAGCCAAACCATCATGGTGGAAAGCCTAACTGAGCCAGTGCTAACTTGGTAGCAGTCAGGAAACAGAACAAGATTGAGAAACCGAGAAAAGGCCTGTCTCTACGGTGTTCCTTATGACCTACCTCCTCTGCCCACGCCCACCTCCTAACCTCATACTCTACATCCCTGCACATCTGGCCACGAGAGACACTTCATGCCCCAGTGCTGTCATCCTACCTATAGGCTCACATGTGTCGTTACCAACTGCAAATCCCATCCTTCACCTGTGTTCTCATTGGTTAGTTTTTGTTTGCTTAGTGACTGCAGAGCAACTCTGGTAGGTCCAGGCAACCAGTGTCCTTCACCATTACCTGACAAGGTAGAGCTACACATTTTCCTGACTTTTTTTTTTTTTTTTTTTTTTTGGTGAAACCGTGGATTGAACTCAGGCCCTTATGCTTGCCAGGCAAGCTCTTATTTTACTGAGCTATCTCCCTGGCCCTAGCTACACATTTTCAAATGAGGTCAAAACTCTTTCCTTAAAATGTTCCCCCTTCCTTTCAGAAGTAAGTATTTAATCCCATATTTTGGAGATTTTTACCCCATTATCTTTCTATAAGTGATTTCAGCTTGATCCATGGTTTATGGATCAAATCCATTCAGTTGCTCTTGGGTTGTATTTTTGAGCTCTTGGAACAAATGTGTACCCGCAGTTGTCAGGCAGAGTCAACTAGATATCAGTGAGATACTGTTGGTTAATGGTGTTGTTGCATTCTTCTATATCCTTGCTAATTTTCTGACTGGTTGTTTTATCAGCTAATAGAAGGAATATAAAGTTTCTAATGATAATAGTGAATTTATTTATGTCTATTTTCATTGAAAAAAGAATGCTCCCACCTTTTGAATTTGTCCCCTATAAGTGCCCTCCCTCAGTCCTAGGAGGTCATATAAATTTTTTTCTCACATAGCCATAGTTACTTTTTAATTATGTTAATTATTCTTTGTTTCAATGTGTGTAGTTTCTATTTCCTGATCTAACATAAGCATATATATTCTGATATCATCTGCAACTTATAATGATCAGGTTTTTATTTTATATTTAGGCAGATGACATACACAATCTACAGAAAAAACTATAAACATATTTTTAAATTGCTTTCATTGTATCTTTAAATCTGTAAATAGACCCATTATTAGTATCTGAAAGTCAAGCACTTAGTTAAGATGGACAGAAAATGATACTAGGATTAGTAATACCTTAATTCACAGAAATTTTAGTTTTTGCTTATACAACCATAAACTGTGCAATGAAAATAGATTCTTTCTAATTATTACTATTTACAGGACCTCTATCAGTGTGGGATTGAAATAATTTATTTAGTTTTCATTTAATTTCCTATATTCGAAAAATATAATTTGCTGGCAGATGTTCTGTAGTGGACTTTTCTCAGGCTGAACTGGATTTCAGGAACTGATCGATATTTATGTTCAGCATGGCCTACTCATAATGACTCAGCACCAACCTAGGCAAACCTCCGAGGAGAAGAGCTGAGTTGGTGCTGCTGGAAGGGAAAGGACCCCCTGAGGACAAGGAGATGCAAGCAGCTGTTCTGCCTTCCAGGGGTACAAGGGATCCCCACAGGAAAGCAAGTCCTGTTGGCGTCCACACACAAAGTGCTGTGGTGGAAGCAGCCTGCGCCTGAGAAACGCTGGGAGCGGAGAATTCAGAGGTGACAGAAAGGCAGAATCTCACATTCCCTCGTAGAAATTTAAATTGGAAATTCAAGTTATAAGCAGGCCAAAGACCAGAAGATAATGCTCTGGAGAAACCATGTTGCAGCCCAGCAGAAAGCAACAAGCACTCACACTTAGGACTCCCCTTGTTACACTGGCCATAAGACAGGACACCCCAAAACTCAATGGTTCAGGCCAGGTATTAATTTATTTTTCTTCTCCTTCCTTTCCCCAAAAAGCCATAAAAGTATTCACAGTGATCAACAGCAGTGTCCCACATGGAAAAGCAAGGGATGTCTCCTTTTGTTCGATGGTTCAACCGACCCCCAAAAGCTGTCCTCATTGTGGCAGAAGCTGGCTCATCAACTGGTTAGCATTTTAGTCCTCAGCAATAGGAAAGAAAAAGCAAAGAGCAAGCAGCTCCCTCTTGAAAGAAAGCACCCAGCAATTTGAAGGTACTGTGTTAGGAAGTTACTCCAAGGCAAGGAAGCCCTGCTCATATTTAAAATGGTACAAGTGGTTCTATGCCTAACATAAAGGTGGAGGTTAATACAAGAGGACAATTATTGTTCTCTGCTAAATCCACAGTTTAATTTTGAAAAGCCCCACTCTCCCAACTTCCGCCTGTTATGTTATATCACCCAATTTTTTTCCAGAACCATCGACAGCTACTCTGATCTATACTTAGCAGAGTGAAAGGAAGGTATTAAACACTTTGTAGAGTGGACTTCAATTAAAGACAGATGGAGTTACTGTGTAAAGCCAGCTCCTTGTCCATACGAGGATAACACTCTGGGATGTGATTTCAATATCTTCACCAGTTTTCCTTTGGTTTGGTCATCTTTGTTCATCATCATTATTAGTTTGATAGCATGTCCTTTTGAGCTATTTTTCCTTCCCCATCTCCTGTCTGTCTTCTGAACATCAAAAATCAAACTACATGAGAGAAAAGGACATGTAATTCAAGTATTTCTAAGACTCACAGGGGGCATTATATAACCACGTGTCCAGCACCAAAAAGAGGGAATCCAGTTTGTCATGGTAAATTCCTGACATATCAGCAAATTTCACTTAAGTTGAATTAAGTAAACCTAACTTACAGACAGACAGATTTGACAATTTCTCTATTTATGAAAATTCACTTACAAGATCTAATAGTATAGGCCAGTACGAAATGAGGGAGAAGAGAAGTAAACAGATCACTCAACAAAAGAGAAGAAAATTGAGTCGGGGGCAAGGATGGGTGAGGGAAACAAGATCTATGGAGGGAGAATTAGTACACTAGAACGACATCAAGGATGGAACACCTCCAAGAAGGCAGCTGTAAAGGAGGCCACCTGGGCCCTGTCGCTATGCCCTTGGCCTACCAGGGAGGTCACTGTGGACAGCCCTAGGGCCACTCCTGATCACCTATGTCCCCTGGCTGATGGTGATCTCCATCCTCAGAGCCTGCTCTGCAGTGGCTCCATGGAGGTCACGTGGGCTGGGGAGTCTGAGTCTTTATCAGGAAGGGAAGTGCACAGCTGGACCAACAGCTCAGGTTCTCATCCTCAGGAGATGACTCAACATGGGTTCCACCTGCTCTCTGAAGCTTTGGGCATAACAGGGCTCCCATCAGCAATGGCAGCAACCCCTCTGTGATGGCTCCTCTTTGGCTTCCCTTCTGTCTCCACCCTACTGCCTACCTGCTCAGTACTTTTGAGCCAGCTTCCATGTCAGGCGGGTTGCTCTAGTAGCACAGGTCCCCCCGTAAGCCTAACAGACCCCATGGTCTCTTCACAGTGTGTTTGGGAAAACTAAATCAAAGGGGCCAATATTTCTCACAGAGCTCTGTGTAAAGGAGAAAAGAGACAACAAAAGGAGCTGAAATCAGAGTGAGTGAGAGACCCAGCAGGAGGCAGGAGTCTGAGAAAGTGGTGCCTAGAAAGTGCAGCAAAAGCCTCAGCATACCTAGAGACATACGGGAGATTGGGATGGGGTTTCCTGTCAGGTGTGCAACAGCTACTGAAGCTACTTTAACTTAATGTTAAGGAAAATGGTGACCAAGCAGATGGAAGACTTGGGAACATGCAGGTGGCTGACATGTGGGTTTCATTTCAAGGTCCTTTGGAGTTCCTTCTCTAGGGCAAGAGTGACATCAGACACAATGCAGGTCCCCTCCGTGGCAACCACTAAGATGTGGTGAGACTGAGTCAGGCAGTATCATGAGGGCTCAGAGGAGCTGTGGTTCTCTCCAGGGCTTAAGGCTGTGCGCTGACATTTAATCTCAATTCTGAGGACATGAGTGACATGCCTGAGTGAAACTGTGAAGTACAAGCAGTCCTGAGACACACTGATGTGAGCCATATATTTTGCAGCCCATTAATACATTAAAGCAAATGTATTAACTTGTTGCAATGCACTTAAAAAAGATTCACTTCAGAGTCCAAATGACAACAAGGACAAAATTGATTGTGCCATGTAGCTTTTTAATTGAAAAATGTATATTTTGCATGAAGAGAAGCAAATATATGAGGCACAGATGATCAGTAATTCCATAATCATGAAGCACTACACTTTGACCAGTTATCCTCTCTAAGTATTTATTATCATGAATAAAGGTGCAATGTGACAGAAGAATGGCTAAGTTGGTCTACATGGAATAGGAGACAACAAGACATCCAGGCATCCTTTTCTCCCTCTTTGGGAAAAGGTTACAGCTATGATCCCTGAGTAGACTGCATTGCTTTGTCTATCTGTAGTCGCAGAAGTTCAATCTCCAGAGACAGCTTATACAACTGCAAGGCCATCTGCACTTCACCTGGGCTTGTGAGGCACTGCATGTACTTTCTGCCTATGACCACCTGTTCACAGCCTTCCGGTACCTCCTGAAAGAGATGCTCATAGTGGGTATGGTAGACAGACTTCCGCTGACCATCCAGCAATAGAATTATATATTATATGGTCTAGAAATAGGAATCAATCCTCCCAGTTCTACAGGACATTGCTCTCTAAGGGCTCAGTCTTTTTTTTCTTTTGTCTATTTATGTATTTGGTACAGGGTCTCACTAGGCAGCTTGGGCTCATAGTGATCCCCCTTTTTTCAGTCTCCCCAGCTCTGGGATTACAGGTGTGTACCCCCATATCTGGTCTCGGTGGCCAGCTCAGCGCACCCAGGGGTGGGGCTGGCACAGAGTTTTTTTAATACTCAAATGAGAATAGAAAACTTGCCACTGGTAACTCACCAGAGTGATTCAAGAAAGAGGGAGGGAATTTCTTTGAGGAACTGAGCAATGATTCTTGACAAATTGGATCACCATGACTAGGCAGGACGGGGCTCTGCAGGAGACTGCCACATTCATGGTTGACAGCACAAAACTACCTGAGTTGTTTTACTTACCCACTCACACTTGGGCACCTCTGGGTACCAGGTTCCCTTCTCTGAGCACATGATACTTTGGGAACCCTTTACTTCAAAACCAGAGTCACAGTGGATGGTGACATTTTCAGACTCAATATATTGAGACTTATTCACAGACAGCTTTCCGTTTTCTATGTTTGGTTGCAGACACTGCGCTGCAAGGGAAACATATATTAGGCAATGAAAAAGACATGATAGTGGTCTAAGCTAATAAGAATGAGTTATATTTAGGTACTGCTTATTGTTTTGTCTTTTTTTCATTTGGAGAGCAATAATATTTTTATTGGTCATGGTAATCTGAGCACTTTACAGGACTATCAATTATCTCATACAATCTCTCACTCTGAGATGAGCATCACCATTTAACCTCATTTTATCTAAGAGGATATTTTATCTATTTAGATACAGAGAGGATAGGAAACTTGTCCATTGTCATGACTTCTTTAAACAATATGATTGGATGTTTTTTAAAGAGAATGATTCTAGAGCTTTAGAGTCCCTCTTTCTTGAATCACTCTGGTGAGTTACCAGTGGCAAGTTTTCTATTCTCATTTGAGTATTAAAAAAACTCTGCACCAGCCCCACCCCTGTGTGCGCTGAGCTGGCCACCGAGACCAGATGTGGGGGTACACACCTGTAATCCCAGAGTCGGGGAGACTAAAAACAGGAGGATCACTATGAGCCCAAGCTGCCTAGTGAGACCCTGTACCAAATACATAAATAGACAAAAGAAAAAAAAAAACTGAGCCCTTAGAGAGCAATGTCCTGTAGAACTGGGAGCATTGATTCCTATTTCTAGACCATATAATATATAATTCTATTGCTGGATGGTCAATGACTCTAGCAAAGTAACTCTCACAGACAAAGTTGCTGCAAGATTCTAGGCATGGGAGTTTCCTATCACCAATTATTTTTCTGTATGCAGTGGAGAAAATGGTGTCAAATAAAACCTTTATGATTCTAACCTAGCAGTATGCTTCTTGTATGCATGTAAGAACCACACCCAAGGTTGACTCCTTTTGTTCCCACAACTGTTTAGCATCAGGAGTCCCCTTAACACACATTATCCCATCATTCAGAGACTTTGATGGAAATAACTGCCACTCCATAACGTTTGAAATTGATCCAGGAGAGCCAGCACACATGTTCAAATAAGCTTCCTTGAATATTTTACATGGGCACACAGGCATGATGTCATCATAGTGCGATGTCTTGGGACCATTTCTAGAAGAGCATACCAAGACAAGGGCCTGGATCAAGAAGGCTAAAACCTGTGACTGGGAGAAAGGAGTGGAGGGAAGTCATGTTTGTGTACTTCTGCATGTGTCTATGTGTTTTGCAATGCCACCTGCATATATTAATGACTTAACATAAATACACTGAAATAAAATTTTCTGTGCTGCCTCTGGCCAAGATGGGCTTTGCTCTCCCTCCTCTAGTGACAGTTCCATGACTGTGATCATGGCTGAGAAAGGAGCCGAGTTACCTTTACATTGGGGTGCTTCAGATGACCACTGTGAATCCTTGCAGGAAAGAGTGTTTTGTCCAACTAGCTTATAACCTTCATCACATTTATATTCAAATGATGGAGTTGAGAAATATGATGAAACTTTTGTATAATGTCCATGGGCAATTGCAGGAGGCAGATAACAGCCTTGATGGTGAGACACAAAAGTGGTAGAGTGTGAGCCTGTAGAATGTGGCAAGGAGCACACTCAAAGTGTGTATAGCTATAGAAGGCTTCACTGTGCTCTTCCATCTTTTCACCTGTAAGATCACTTGTGTTGCCCTCTTGCAAGTAAGTATCAGGCTGAAGAACTAGACAGACTCGAGCTATGAACTTCTATAGTTTGAACGCCCCCAAGTGGACCATAAGTGAAAGATTTGATCACCAAGTGGCATTACTGGGAAGTGAAACCTTTAAGAAGGGGGACCTAGTGGGAGATTCTTAGATCAGAGGAGGGATCTGACCTGTATCGCTCCCTCTTCCTACCACCTGATTCATGGTGAGGTGGACAGTTTTGTTCACTATGTGAACAAAAATTAACCTTTCCACTACAATTGTAAGTTGGTTACCTAAGGTTTTTGTTATTGTGAAATAAAGCTGGCTAACATAATACTTTCATTTTATTAATTCAGGGAAACATTTCATGAAAGGTAAAATCAAGTAGAGGGAATGTCAGATAAAGAATTATGCTGGTGTAATTAAGTAGTTAAAGTACCATATTAAAAGGCATCTTACACACATGGAAGAAATGACAGCTTGCATAAATGCAACAAAAATTCTGGAACTACCATAGGAGATGGCAAAGGGATTAAATAGGGGCTGGGGAGATAGCTCAGTAGAATAAATGCTTGCCTGGCAAGCACAAGGGCCTTAGTTCCCAGGTTCCACAAAAAGAAATGAAAGAAAGAAAAAGAAATTGACTCTTTGGGCCAGGGAGATAGCTCAGTAGAATAAGCACCTGACTGGTAAGTGCAGGGTCCTGAGTTTAATCCCCCGTACTGGGAAAAAAAAAAAAATGGGGGGCGGGGATGGTTAAATGACTCAAGGATGTGAGCATGTTGAGGGAAGTATACGACGTACACTGGAAAATTGTTCTGTGGGAAGGCCTAGAGTAATGGTCTCTGAGCGAGAGACCACAGACAGCACCAGGTATGGCCTGGTAGGAGCTGGGTTGCACAGCAGAGGTAAGTGTGTGTGTCTTAGTTACTCTTCTCTCATTGCTGGGACAAATACCCAACATTCAAAATGAAGGAAGGAAAAGTTTATTTAGCTCACAGTTACTGGAGGTTTCAGTCCATATTCAGTAGAGCAGCACAAGCAGAAAGCAACCCTTCATAGCTGTGGCAAAGAGCAAGAGCACAAGGGAGAGGCAGCAGCAGCTCAAGCTAGGCTCTCTTCCCACCTTACATTGTAATGCAGATTGCCCGCCCCAGGGAAGGTGCAGCATCCACACCCATAGTAATCAAAAACAAACTTCAGAAACTGCCCCATGACTGCATGAGGCTTTGGGAAGACACCTATAGACAAACCATAACAGTGTGCAAGCAGTTTCAACTATATCTATAGCCACTCCCCTCCCTCACTTTATTGCCTGAGCTTCCACTGCCTGTCAAATAAGCAGCAGCACTAGATTCCCATAGGAGCAGGAATCCTACTTGGACCTGCAAAGTGAGGGATTCAGTTTGTGTTCCTCACGAAAATCCATGTCTGATGCTCGGTGGTGGGGATGAGCTGGTGATGCTAGCACTGGGGAGGAGTGGCTTCAAATACAGGTGAATATTAGCAGAGAGGTCTGACTGCATGGAGGTCATTTTAAATCAACTTACAGACTCAGATCAAAACCCTACCAGTTGGGGCCAGGGAGATGGCTCAGTGGAATTAGCGCTTCCCTGGCACGTGCAAGGGCCTGAGTTCAATTCCCGGTTCTGCAAAAAAAAAAACAAAAAAACCCAAAACAAAACCCTACCAGTGAGTAGCAAGTGATAAGCTGTACTGGGCGGCAAGCTTTGTAGTGCTAAGTGATGTGATGCACTTCAATTGTACAGCCGCATCTGAATTTTAAGTCATTTGTCTTAATTATCTTAGATAACTATGACATTTATCTTAGTCCACGTGTAGCCTATCCATATTGTTTTTACCATTTCCATGTACAGCTCTTTCTTGTATAGTGTATTTGTTGCAGTCACCGTTCTACGAAGTCCACAGCCTACCTAGACAAAATGCGTAAAAGCTAAGTATCATAACACAGGCCAAAGAGCTTGATGAGTTGATACCGCGTGTCATCCATTGAGAAATACTGGTACCCAAAAGCGTCACCTGAACTTAAAAGTGTTTTGCAGCATGTGATTAAAATTATCAACCATATATAAAAAACTACATCTTTTTCCTCAGTTAATGGGAATGTGAGTTGTTTCTAAGAGTTAACTATGACAAATTGTGCTGCTATAAACATGGGTGCATATATATCACCATGGTATAATTTTTTAATTCTTCTGGGACGATAACCAGATGGGCAATAGCTGGCTTACATGGGACCTCTATTCTAGTTTTTTGAGGAATCTCTATATTGATTTCCATAGTGATTGCACCAATTTACACTCCTACCAACCCTGAAAATGGATTCATTTTTCCCTCCAGCTTCCCAGCATTTTTTTTGCAATGGAGTACTACTCAGTCATAAATAAGGATAAACTTGAGACAGTTATAGGTAAATGGATCCAATTTGAGACCCTACTCATAAGTGAAATTAATCAGACTCACAAGTGTAAACATGGTAGTATCTATCTGGTGTGAGAAAATGAAAGACTAAATAAGGACTAAAGTATACAATAGACAGTATGAAATAGGAAGAAATTTTTTCAAAAGGAAAGAGGAATTAGAGTGGGGAAGAGAGGAAGAAAGAAAACAAAAAGAAAAAAAACATAGTTATACTACTAGTTTCTTTTATTTCAGTGAAAAGAAAGGTTCATGTTAATATCATTTGGAGAATTTTTATTCCTATATCTTGTACTTTGAGTAACAACTTTGAAGATAACAATATATAATTAATTATTGTTATTCTATTATTTTATTATAATTTGTTTATAATTTAATTATAATTTTGATTTTTTCCCCTTGAAATAAAATTTTAAAAAAATTGTCAACCACTTTAAAGTATATGGGGAGAACTACCCGCTTGGGCCCCCCTCTCCTGTCCCTCTCTTGGGACAGGAGCTTCATTTCTCTCAATAAATATATTCTGCTCATAACCTCCGCTTGTTCCTAAAATTCATTCTTGGTTTTAGAGAACACGAATTCGTGCAGGTCAGATCCAGAGATCATTTTTCCCTATGTCATTTGGAGGTTCCCTAGGTGGGTTGGAGGTCACCCACCAGAGATCAGTTTTTCTCCTTGTATCATTTTAGAGGTTTCCACCAAGATCATTGGACAGAGGTATGAGTTTGCTTTTCTTTCATAAATTCTGAATTGGGACTTGCTTAGGTAACAAATTTTTATGCTTCAAATGTTAGTATGTCTTTGCCCATTGCTCATAATTGTCACCTGAGCAATGGTGCTTGTAATCTCATTGGTTGACCATAGTTTTGTCCCACCTCATGCCCAACTAAGTGAGTTCCCATGTTCCTTACCACCTTAGACCTGCCTCACCGCATGGTTTTACTCTATAAAAGTCCCTGGAAGAGACAGCTTCTCGGGGGGAACTACCCACTTGGGACCCCCTCCTGCCCCTCTCTCGGACAGGAGCTTTCTTTCTCTCAATAAATATATTCTGCTCATAAAAATAAATAAATAAATAAAGTATATGACCTACATGGTGGTATGTGCCTATAATCCCAGCACTTGGGAGGCTGAAAACGGAAGGATCACTACAAGTCCAATCTTGGTAGTGAGACCCTGTAGGCCCTGTACTATTTTATTTTATTAAAAAATGAAATAAAAAATAAAGTATATGCCCTAAGCCATTTATGTCAAAGACTGAATTTTTTAAAATGCTTGCATGAAGTGCATGCATATTGTCTAGAAAAATTCAAGGAACAAGAATTTGAAGAGAACACATTTCATTATATTCTGTTGTTACAGGTTCAAAATCTGGATCAGTAGGCTTTGAAGGATAACTCCTATCTGTCTGCAATCCCTTTGAGGAAATGAACATACAGTGTATATATCTTCTTTTATACACAGAAGTGAAATGGTAGTTGTTATGATATCTTTGCTAGAGAAGATTAATGTGACCTCAAGTGAATGAGGTCAGTAAGTCCCACTTCTATCCCCCTTGGGGGACATCCTAAATTTAAATCATGCCAATTATACCTACATCATCTGGAAGATTTCTCCTCACTACTACCTTTTGAAATCACCCCTTGCTGGGCTCTAATACAGCTTCCATTCATTGATTCTTATACAGACATACCAAAAATTCATGTCCAAGAACACTGTCATGGGTTACAATGAAAACTTACCATATAGTCATGCGAGTGAGCTAAGGGAAAGCCACTCATGTGACAACAGCTGGTCACAAGCAGAGATGAGGGTTCCCATTGTGCTTTTTGTCTGTACCATCTGGACCTGCTCTTTCTTAATCCTAGATGCACCATTTTCAATTTACAATGCATTCTTGCACATTGACTTTACAATTTGATGTATCCTACAGATGCAGCTCAGGATGAATAATTTTGGACATGGTCACTTAATGACCGGAGAGCAGGAGCTTTGTCTCCATCAGGACCAAATACAATAAAAGGAGTTATACATCAAATGTTAATAAGTCTCTGATGCAATGCCTGGCCTTGCTTCATGGTCCCAGTGGTTTGTGGTATGATTGTTGCTTTGACAGTTACATCTTCTCCTATTATAGCCACCTGCAATATACCAGGCTCTGCTCGACCCTCACACCTAAAAACAGGATGATTTCACCGTAGACTGGACCTGGACCTCCAGCGCAGCTCTTTCCCAACAGAAACCCGTTTCAAACCTGGCAATCTTTTATATCACCTAGTCTACAGATCAGAACAGTACTCCCAAATACAGATTATGCTACCTCTAAAATCTTAAAAGTTCAATTAGATGCTAGGCTTTCTCCTTTGCAGTGATATAAAATGTGCAATAGTTTGACTTTAGTTTGGAGTATGATACCCTAGTATTCCTTGAACCTTGGACCTATAACTTTTTTTAAATTTGGTA